CTGGTTTTCTCAGTAAACTGTAATTGCAGTATTTTTCATACTCTATCAGAGCCATTTTCCTCAATAACAATCTCGTTTTTTCCTCATCTTCTCAGCTGCTGCATTCCTGTCTGAATATTTGTTCATATTTATAAAAATATGCAGAAAAAGTCAGTCCCTTGTCATGATCGTATATAAATTCTGATATGATGTTTTGGACAACTTTTGGTGTAAGAGACATTGAAGAATTTTTCTGTTTTGTTCAGAATTATATCCAACAACTTCTGTTGCTGTTATTGTAGTTTTAGCAACTGTTTTTTTTTTCTTTTTTTTTTTTTTTTTTTTTTTTTTTGCAGTTGAATTGTTGTTGAATTTCAACTATGGAAGCCAAAATTTTCTCCATATTTGCAAGAATTTTTTTTTCTTCATTCTTGTAACTTCAATTACAACTCATAAGTTCCTGATCCTTGTTACTGTTATAAATTGTAAGAGTTCCGAATCCTCAACACTCGTTATAAATACCAAGTTTCAAATCCCTCATTGCAACTATTATAATGCCACAATTCTATGGCTATTGTTATAACACAATCTTATATAATGTACTTCATATAAGAATTCTTTATATGTAATGCTTCAGCTACTAGCCATGATGCCTGTATTAGTTAGTCTGAAGACTGACACCAAATGGATTGGTATTTACCCAGGTCTCCTCACTTAGTTGGGATGTGATACAAGGTCAGGTTTGACATGGGGAACCTGAGTGTGAACATTTGGGCAGCTAGTCCAAAATTTCCACAAAACTGGTGGGGAATGTTTACTTTGCTTGTCTGTTTTTCTCAGCCGAGTCTCTATCCGTAGCCAGAGCCCTGACTGAGTCATCCTCTGCCCAAAGACAGAGGTCTTGTCAGTTGCAAGCCAAACAGCTAACCGCCTGACTCTAAGTGGTTATGTATATTACCAACCCTCCCGACAAGGCAGGATGTGGCATAAGGCTCGTTTTTGTGTAGGGCAATTCTGAGCCTGTAGACTTGAGGGAAAATTCCCTTAGTCTTGTCTGGGTTCCTCCCTGCAGAGAGTTCGACAAGTCAGTTGTAAGCCCAACAGCGAACTGCCTGAATCCAAATGGCTACCAGTCTTACCTCTGACTTGTAGCTCTTTATAGTAATGCAGTAGTTCATACAGTCACCAGGGATGTACTCTTTACTCCACAACATTTATTTTTTATATTTTCAGAGAGACAATCTTCACCAGCAATACTTCATCATTGCCCATTCGAGACATTGCTAAAGCAACAAAGAGGTTGGATAAGTTTGGAGGCTTACATTTCTTCAATCCAGTTCCAATGATGAAACTCTTGGAGGTTGGTAACGTATATTTGATAGAAGAAATTTACTTTTGGTGCTATATCTGTGTGGATGGTAGGAGAAAAAAAATTTACATTTTTGTTTGTCTGTGTATGCATATGTTTGTAAGTATGTATGTATGTACAAATGTGTGTACGTTTTGAGCTGGTCTAGTCCCCTTCCTATCAAATTGTGAAATGAAAGTTGTCCTGAATAGCCACTCATCTATATCCTTTCATACTAAGGTGGGGGTGTCGCTCGGGGCTCCATCCTTGGTCCTACACTGTTTTTTTTTAACTTCATTAATGACTTTCCTGATGATATCAGCTGTCATCTTGGTATCTGTGCTCATGACACTACCATTTACTCTTGCCTCAGTACTAATGCTGATCAGTCTGACAAGGTCAATGTCCAAAACGACCACAAGACCATTCTTAACTGAGGCAAAAGATGGCTTGTCAGTTTTAATGCCTCCAAAACTAAACTTCTCTCCATTAATCATCTGAGACACCCCTCTCTGCCTTCCATCAGCATGGCTGATGCTAATCCCCATGATAATGACTCATTGCACCTTTTTGAATTTGACTGTGTGCAAAAATATTTAACACTTATACAAATAATACCATAAAAAGGATATTTTAAAACTATTTTCAGTTATTTTGATAGGTTTGTACTTCATCCAATCACAGGTTCTTTCATATATGTATTAACTAAGCAAGTCACTTAATCGACACTTAGTGATAACAGGTCTGATACAGTACAGATTTTCCCACTATCTAAACTTATAAAAATAGTTAAAACAAAGGAATTGTTTTACGATATCCAATAGAAGATTATAAAGCTATACAAAGATGGTAAGGTGTATCGAAAAATTGCTCAAGATTTAAATTTGCTTGTGTGTACAGTGGATGCTGCAGTTCGAAAGTGGAAAAAATATGATACTACGGAAAATTTTCAAGGGAGTTGTCGTCTGCATAAATTAAACGAGGATACTGAATAATATATAGGCTGGAATGTGAAGAAACAACCATTTTTGACTCGCAAAGAAATTCAGAATGATCTGAAAAATATTGGAATTAAAGTAAGTAAAGATACAATTAAGAGATCAGTGAATTGTATAAGCCTGGATTCTAAATCACAAAGAAAGACTCTATTATTAAAATATAAACATGTGCAAGACTGTTTGAAATTTGTTAAAAATTATGAACTTGAATCAAATGAATTCTGGGAGAAAGTTATTTGATCAGATGAAGCGAAAACGTGCACTCAAATATGGAAGAAAAAAAGGAACTGAACACAACCCAGAAAACACCATTGAAACAATCAAGTATAAGAGCACAAGTATAATGATTTGGTGTTGTTTTTCATATAATGGAGTAGCAGAAATGGAAGTCATCGAAGGAAGAACGAATGCAGCAAAATACAATCAAATCTTATCAATCCATTTATTAAAAAGTGCAACAGGTTTGAGGCTTGACTGAGATTTTGTATTCCAACAGGACAATGATCCAAAGCAAATGGCTAAAACAACTCAACACTGGTTCAATGAAAATGGAATTGATGTTATGGAATGGCCTAGCCAATCCCTGGACCTCAATCCAATAGAAAATTTAGGGAAAAAGTTGTAGTTGAGAGTACAGGCAAGAGATAAAAAATATCAAGGAACTGAAGAAAGTCTGTGAAGAAAAATGGGTGAAACTGCTAAAATCTTCATGCAAGAAACTTGTTGAAAACTACAAAAAATGACTAGAGGCTGTAAAGGTGGAATGGAGGATATGCTACTAAATATTAATAAATCATGTTAAATACTTTTGCACACAGTCAAATTCGAAAATTGGCAATAAAAAAACAATGTCTCTCAATTTTCCTTTATGTTTAGTTAGACAATGTTCATTAATATATTTGAAGTATCATTCAAATTGAACAATTTTTTATTGTGAAATTTATAAAAAAAACTGTGTTACATACTTTTGCTACCCACTGTGTGTGTGTGTGTGACATCTCTTTTTACAAAATTTGTATGCCGATTTCTCATTAAAAAACCCATGACATTTGTTTTTCGCATTTAATCTGGATTTCTTTCTCCATCTGTAAATTTTTCAATTCTTCCTATAAAAATGAATACAAATTATGATTATTTCTAAACCAATTTGATATTTGCTCCAACTTAGACATATCAATATTTGCTGCCTCATGATGCAAAGAAAAACCTCTATTTTACTCAACCAACATTTATTTTTCAGCATTATCTCCTTCCATATCATTGAACTTAATACCATGAAAGGTATTAAGCAAATTGATTGGACATGACATGGTGAAAATTTCAAGTCAAAATTCAGGCTACTGATTTATTGATTTACCTTTTGGATGTTTGGTGGTTTTAATTTTGCTTGGAATATATTCACAAAGAATTTGCCTAAGTGTCAAAGCAAGGGAACTTCCAGATGAGACCTGAAAAAAAAAGGTTTTTGTTTAGAAATTGGTATTGCATTGACAGTTGATATGGAAAGCTTTAATGGCTAAAAAATAGTTCTACTGATTCATACTCTCCATATGAGATGCTACTCAAATTTTAGAGGAATTTGAACAGATTGATCAATGTGTCTATATGTCCAGGCATCCAGTGTTTGTTTCTGGCCATTCCCCAAACTCATTGAAATTGCTCCAGCAAGAAATTAATTAATGTTCTAGCAAATGTCTTTCTTACCATTTTTTATACACTGATTTACTCTATCATTCTCATGTTGGTTACTATCATTACAACATTTTAGGTTTTTCTATCATGTTTTTCTTCAAATGTTGCAAGCCACTAGTCCGTACTGGGTATGACGATAAACCACATCTGTGTCCTGGGTAAGACAGTAAACTACATCCGACAGCAAGGCCTCTGATCAGGAGGTTTTAAGGAGTGTGGAACCACCCCTGACCTGGGGTGGTAGCACCTGTTAGGGTCTCAACTAAATAGTTAACCCCCAACTATGAAAGTGTTAAAATAGGTTTTATTACCAGCAATAAAAATCTTGTTGGCATTAAATAAACCCATTGTGGTGTTGATATGCTACAAAACAAAGCAAGCCACTAGCTATTCTATTACTATTTCCATAGAAAATATTCTGACAGCTACATTCCTTAGTTCCACTATTTCTAACCTTCACAGCTAAGACCTGACATGCCACATACATCCACTCATTCTGTAGAGTAGGCTACGGTTAAATGTAATTGACAGAAATGCTCAACTAACAGAATTGACAATGTTTGTAATAGGCAACAAGAGATAGAAAAAAACATGGCAAAAACAATATTAAACAATATATGCAAGAGAGAAATAGGCAAAGCAACAGTAATAAGGCAAAAAGGTCACAAACTAAGAATTGGGGTTGATACACAAAAAGGGATACAGACAAGTGACTGAAGCATTCGAACTTCAAGAAAGACCAAAACTATATCAAATGTGACTGAGAGGTGGCCTGTCTTATTGGCCTTGAAGAAATCCCAGCATGCATCTGTATGTTTTGTCTATAAATTTGGGGAGGGGGATGTTTTTGCAGTTATTTCTACTTGTATTAGAACCAAGCCATTATGTATTCCATTAGTAAGAAGGAAGTTCCATACACACTGGAACCCCGCCTCCCCACCGCCAATGAGAGGATTCTTGCCAAATCATTAGAAAGCTTACAACCACATTGAAACACCGGTTCCCGTACGGTCACTGAAGTTAAGCAGTGTTAAACCTGGTGAGTACCTTGATGGGTGACCACTTGGGAATATCAAGTGCTGTAAACTTTTGATGTGCAGGTGGTTTGATAGATAATGGCTTGGAATTGTTAATCAGAAAATGGAGTTTGAATTCCTGTTGGGGTTGTTATATTTGCTTACACACAAATACCCTCAGGAAAGTTATTGATCCACCTCTTTCCTCTCAACTATGGGTTAATTAAAGACTTGAATCACTAAACTATTATCTGGAAAAAAAATTACCATCTTAAAAATATTTTTTGGATTTAAATAACCTGCAAAGGTGTTGATAAACCATAGAAAATGAATTAATCGACATGATCACTGCAGTCTTAACTTCAAGCCTACAGTTAACTAAAGTGTAACCCGGATATAAGAGAGTTGTCGGGACCGGAGAAGAAGTCTCTTATATCCGGGTTTGGTCTATTTTGTTTTGGTAAATATGGGAACACTTTGGGACCAGAGAAAATCTCTTATATCCGGGTTACACTGTATTATCTTTTCTACATATCCTCATCAACTGCACTTTTTACCTCCTCTTTTTTTATACAATAACCTTCTTCAGTAACCCTCTATCTTAAGTGGCTACTGGGCCTAATATTGTGTGAAAAATTAGGAAAAAAAAAAAACAAAAGTCTGTCAGAGTTGGTAACTTTATGGGAATTTTGAGCCAAACCCTTTATTCAATTCATGGGGAAGATTGTTCCGATTTTACTGTTTATGCTATTCATGTCTGTTGATTATATTTAGTTGCATTGTTTTTTGTCTACTCCACTGAATCAGGGTATATGACTTATTTTCTTGATTCTGGGTTTGAACTCTAGATTGCCAAGTAACCAATACTTTTATCCCCTTGAGCAGGTGGATTGAATAAAGGATTCAGTTTGAAACTCTTTGAAGGTCACCAAGTACAGTTTATCTGAGAAAACCAGGGTGTACAATGTCTAAAATGTTGTGACAATATCAATGAAGTTGAAGCTTGTCCTAACAAATTGGTGAATTATAATTATGTTTGGTTTGCTTGATATGGTTTCTTTCAACTTACATATTGTTCATCTGGATTCCTTGTCCATCTGATTTTCTGATGTATTTTTTAATTTTGTGAAGTCATGAATTGGATGTGCCAAAACCGAACAAGTACCGATGTTTAAGTATCTGGGATATGTTTTGAGAGATGACAGAAAAAGAGACACGGAAATCTGAAAGTACAATGAACCAGCAAAAATGATGTTTTCCAAAAACTAAAACTATTAAGAAATAGGAAAAATTCATTAGAAACCAAGTAAAGAATGCTATGTAATTTCACTCCTCCTGTATGGTAGGGAATGTGGGATAATTTCCTCACAGATGGATAAGTCTTGAAGCAACTGAAATGTGGTTCTGTAAAACAATGCTGAGAATACCATTGACCAAGCATGGGAGGAATGAGGAAATTTTAAGGAAGATGGGAATGAAAAGGACAGTTATACAGAAAATTAAGAGGATGAAATATGTTGGTTAAGAGAATTTTTTTCCTTTTGTCTTATATATATATAATGACTGCCTGTTTGCTGAATGAGGGCAGCTACCAAACAGGCTGAATCAGATGAGGTGGGAGTTTCCCAGAACTGATTCATACTACCCTCCAATTTGGGAAAGCCTTATTGGGTGCCTGGACAGTGCTTTGTGACCCTCACTATCTTATCAACATTTACTTTTTTCTACTTAGTTTAATTTGTAACATATATAAATATATGAACAATCGACTATTACACAATGACTTCCTTCTGAGTTTTTTATTTTGTCCAAATCCATGAATTTGTTTTGCTTATGTCATTTTTTGAAAAAATACTATATAAAATTCATTATTTTTTATACATAGTTTTGAATGTGATAAAATTTAATGTTTTAACAAGAAAAATCTCAAGTTGATGCCAAAAATTGCTGCAAGACATTGTCGATTTATTTAAGATGGAATGATCTATAATGTCTAATTTGCATTTAGATACATTTTTTCATTTTCAGTTTTTTTACTTGAATTATTTCCTTATATTGCATATGATTCCTTATTGTACATACTTATGTTACAATAAAATTGGTATTTTATGTGAATACTACCTTACAAAATTTGTGATGTAGTAGAGTGGGGGGGGCACCATATCATAGATTCGGTAGTGGGAGACATGTGAGCCCTTGAAATACCTCTTTGATTTTCCACCAAGCTCCAAAATCCCATTGGTACCTGCATGATTGTTTATAGCCATTTATAGCCAATGTAATACAATGTGGATTCTCAGCATCAGACAGCCTTGACCAAGTGACAAGAACCAATCAAGATAATTGGAGGCTGTCTGCACTGCATACAATTCAAGTAGTCAGATGGAAAGGCATGGTTGTTAGTGCCCAAATCATATGAGGATATGATCTCTATAGCAGGTCTTTCACATACACACACACAATTTTTATTATACGTTATTTTAATAGATATGCTTTAAGTAAATACTCTGTTTTTTAAATAATTTTATCCGAATGATCATATCTGCTCACGAAACGTACCTTAATGGAAACAGTGACAACATTATATAATGGATTAAGTCTGAGAATTATTCAATATATTTTTTGTTTATATATTTTGATAGATACAATTTATTTAAATAAATGCTGTTTTTTTAAATAAATCATTGAAGATTTGTTGTTTAAAAACAGTAATTTGGACTTTGCTTACCAGATACTTTTTTGTACCTGAGTGGTATAGCACGTCAGATCAATTGACAGTTCCATATAGGATACGGGTTTGATTCTTGTTGGAGAGTGTATGTTTTCTACAAAATTGTTTGAAGATTCAGGGTGATAAATGTAATTAATACTGTGTTTATTTAAAAAACAGAGTATTTACTTAAATAAATTGTATCTATTAAAATAACATATATTATGAAATGGATTTAGTCAGACAACTATTTGATATATATTATTGAAGCTTGTGTTATTAAAGACCCTGGAACTTTTCTGTTTATTAATTTTTCTTTCGATTTTTTTTTTTTTTTTTTTTTTTTTTTTTGCTTTCTTGCAAGTTTATCCATATTTGGGTCTAATTTGTTTTACCAAGCACTGTCAGTTGTTGTCAATCATCATCATGGCTGTATGTTTTGGTTTGAAGTAGGTTGCTTTTTATTTTTATAGATAATATTTTGGGTATTCAAGCAGTGTTGTTGGATTAGTCCATTAGCAATTGGGAGGGGGTTTGGTATTTATTATTTGGACCATTAGTTATTAAATATGTTTAAGATATTCCTACCAGTATTAAATCCTATTTTATTTACATTGGATTTTTGGTTTTTAATTGTGATGGCTTCAAGAATTTGTGTTTTTTGCAATTGTTTTTGTAGAGGATTTTTGTATTGTTGATTAGGCTTTTTCTTATTTCAGAGAATTTGAATCTGTTATTAATGGTACAGTGTGTTATAAGGTGATTATTTTTTTTATGGCGCAGGTATCATGAAGATAGTATATAAGACAACATGAGAGAGTTGTGGTTGTGTGCCTAATGTATGTGCTAGGGTTATTATGTGAGAAACACTCAAAATGGCCATGTAAACTTGTACACTGCATTGGTTTTATTGAGGAATGGTTTGTGGGGAGTAGTATTGGACAGTTATGTTTGCGGTTTTAAAATTGGTGAGGTATAGTATTTTTATTTACTTGTGTTGTTAGACAAGTTTAGTGTATCTGTGGATGGTGTTATTTCTAGTTCATATGTTAATCGACTAATTTATTATGGAAATTGTTGTGAAAAACTCTGTTGATTAATTTTTTGATTAGGGCTATTTTATATTTATCTGGGCATTCACTATGGAAGTTGAGCAGGTAGGAGTTTTTATTTTGTTGGCTTTTTAAATATTGATATATTAAATCTATCTTGGTTATTGGAGTCTATGAGTATATCGAGAAATAGTATTTTGTTATTTAGTTTGACTATGAATTTTAAAATAGAATTTTTCTCAAAGGTTGGTTTAACATTCTGGACACTAAACTTTTACACTCTTTAGCATCCAGAATGATTTTCACACATCTTTGAATATTATTTTTTTACTTCATTACACGTGACATGTATCTAACCAATAAGAAGTAACCAAACACAACATTCCATTAATCTGCGTCTCTTTGCTTTTTATCATTTTATATTATTTCTATCTTGGATCTATGATGAAGCTTTAACAAAGTGAAACATGTTAGATTGAGATCTGTTTCCTACTTGTTCTTTATCCTAACATTTCATCAGATTCCTATCCATACTTGATCTATATTTGATCATATACACAGACATAAATATACATATACACACACATACGTGTGTGTGTATATATATATATATATATATAATTATTTTTATAAAAAAATTTATAACATAAGTATGTTATAAAAATCACTACAAAAATAGCCATTTTGTTTCAACACACTCTGTGTCTTATCAAGTGATGGTGTTGAAAAAGAAAATAAATGGTTTATATATATATTTGACTCTCCCATCGAATTTGACGTATGAGGGTCAGGCAGATCAGTTCCTAGGAAACCGACAGCAGCACATGAGATTTGATTATAGTGGTGAAGGTTTTAGTGCAGGACCATCCACACTTTTTGAAGGGCCAATACAGAGACCTGGTGCACTCGTGCCACTAGGTCCCCAAACGACCCTCCGCAGGTTTTGAATTCAGAGTTGTTCTTCTCCTAGACCAGTTGCCATCCAAGGCTATAGAACCCAGTCTGTGTGTGTGTATAGTGTGTGTGTGTATATATATATATATATATATATATATATATATATATATATATATATATATATATACACACACACACACACACATCATGCAGCCGAATGGTTAGATATTTGCTTTCCAACCATGAGACCTGTGCTTGATTTGTCAGAAAGGTGATTCTGGATGTTATCAGTTTGAGTTGGAGATCCCAGCATGCAACACCTTTTGGAAAGTTGAACACAAAACTGTTGTGATGTGGAGTCTGGCAGGGTACAACATTTGACAGACAGTTATCCAGGACTACTTATCATG